ACATGCACCCGCCCAAGCAGCAAAAAAAAACAACGCAAAAGACCAGACAACAAAAAAGAAACACTCTTACCCAGTTATCTCAAAAGATTTTACAAGGAGAAGATGCTTCTGTGGACACGCGTTGAGCTGGAGTGGGTGCAGCGCAAAGTCCGTCCCATCAGCCGTGTATCTTGATGGACGTTTGCATTCATAATTTCGGAACATTAGATCCAGGGACAAGTGGGGGGATGGGCAGGAGTCCATCAAGGAGCCATTAGTTAGAATTATAAGTAGGACAGAGGTAGTATTGGTGTGACAGTGTGAGCATCCAAACTCCAAAGCCAGTGCTTACACTTGTTTTTCAGGTAGTCCGGCACCTGATCCATGACAAGACGATTGTTGGGGACGTGCCTGCGACAGCATGAGATGGCTCTACACACTGCCTGTAATATATGTACTTCTGGTGTGCAGCAGGTCACCCAGTACTTGGAGGACGTCGAGGACCATTTGGAAACATACATTGAAGAGATCAGTCGAAGCATTGGGGTGTCTTGGAATAACATCTCCACGTGGCATCATGTAGCATGTTTCAGCAGGCTTCCCCAACTTGAGCATCCGTCTCTGAACACTACACGGGAGGTGTGCGACTCTTTGCGAGACCAAGTCCGGAGTTTTCGGGACCGCGAACAACAGGGCGCATCTCGACATAGTGAAGTCTTGACGCATTTCCTAATGTTGCACTGACTTTACTGAAGAGACATTGAACAATGTGTTTTGGCAGCCGCTTATTCAACTTCAGGCCATTGTTGTGAAGACCTTGAATAATGTGTTTTGATTTTGGGGCCCTAAAATACGGGACAGAATCCAAATCATCCGTTTGAAAGTAATCGCCAACGTCTTTCGGGGCCCTCAGTACCGTGGGAGCCCTATTGAGGACGTCTAATTTCTATTTTCCCGGACCCCGCTATTGTTAAGGGGGGGGACGGGGTATAGAGTTTCAAGAGAGCGCAACATGAAGGCCTAGGACCTGAGGCATAATTGCATCAGCACTAGCATGAACAGGCAACAGATTTTCAGCCGCAACAGTTTCAATTTGCCTACGCAACTTCCTAGTCCACTGTCTGTTGTCTGAAATCTCTATGGCGCTGCAACGGTGCGTTTTTGGGTTTTCTTGGGCTTCTGTGCGAGTATTTGTTTTGGGATGCACAAGTCGACCGAATGCATGGGGGTTACAATGAGCCATCTAAGGCCTGTAAAGGTGCCGAATGCATATGCGTGACAGATGGGGACCGAAGATGAACTACCACGCCGAAGCCCAAAAAGTAGAGGGACCAGGACAGCCTAGCACGAAGCAAGCCGTCCACAAAACCAGGCGAGCAAGGCAGCAGTCCTGGATCACAACTAAAGGATTATGTCAGCCAAGCGCACAACGAGAAGAAAGGATGTTCCACAACGATGCAGGTTTTATAAACCCTGTTGCAATCCTATGGTATCGAGAAATTTCAGGAAAGTTCATTACGCTCGAATCCAAATGTGTGTGCAAGCTGCTCCTGCTTGGGCGAATGTTGGATGCATGGACAAAAAAATGTCAAGCTTAGCCGTGTGTGCCCCCTCCGTGCAAAACCTTGGTGGTGGGTAATTCCCATTTGTTTTTCTGTATTTGGGCTTCGTGTTGCCATGGGGAGTGCGAACATGTAACAAGTACACAGACAATGTATGTCACGACAGCGTGTGTGTGTGTGTCCAAAACAGCTAGGTGGTCTACGTTCTGGCACTGGTGACAACGATGACAACCCCACTGCAACTATGCTGAACAATTTGACTTCCTGAATCGTTTGCACATGCAGCGTTGTGCCCAGTTTGAGTGGATTTGGGCACTTCAGTTTCCAGGCAGCTGTTGGCATCCATGTACGGCATGAATTTCATTGACGACAACGGGAAGCCCGTTGTGCCAGGCCCCGTTGGGCATCCTGCCAGTTAGTAGCACTGCCATGCCTTCCTGTGCCAGGCCTTGGCCGCCTTGAAAAGCAGCGCGGTTATTGCCTGTTCTGGGGCATCTTGACTTCTATCTTACGAGCAGGTTGCAGCTGCAGCCCACAAACGCAAGGTTGGGCGTGTGCCAGAGTGCTGAGGTCTGGGTGTCGCAATTGTCATTGCAATCTACATTAGCTTCCGCTATGTGCTGAAATGGATGTAGCGATGTAGCCTTCCTGCGGGCTCGCAGACTGCCTTCTGATTCTGCCTGTGGCGGGCCATCTTGTTTCACTGACAGAGTGGCATCCCTCGGATGGAGTCTCACTTGCGAGGCCCCAGCCATGCAAGGAGCCCGAAGTAGCCGAAGCAGAGACATACACCGTCTGCGTTGAAAAGCTTGTATGGTATGCCAAAGATATGATGATAATGTGTAGGTGCTGGGAGCATGTTCGAATGGCGATTTCAAAGGGCCTAAAGATTCATTTGTGCTTCCTGCAAGGTCATTTCTGTGCGGCTCCTGCTCAACGAGAAATGAGCCGTTGCTTGCTTGCAAATCCTGTCTTCCTAAGTAATTTCGAGCGTTCGCGAGATTTTTTGGGCGGATTCCAGGCAATGCGCCAGCCAGTTTCCGTTGGTGCCAGGTCAGGCAGCAGGTTCAGGAGCCACTACATGTAAGCAGTATCAGCAACTCACCGAACCCTCGAGCGGACTTCAGTACGTTGACTGTGAGCTCTAGAAGGCCAAGTGCGACCTCTTCACTTGGCAAAACCCCAGCAGAACATGGCTAGATTGAGCTAGGATGTCAGACTCTCCTTCAAACAGGAATGAACGGGTTGCAAGCACAGCCTGTGGGCGATAACGTGCCTCGCCAAGGAACTGTGGAACTTTATGCACGTGGCGAAGCTGGAGGTGCGCTTGGGGAATCCGTGTTGTTTTTGTTGTTTGGTCTTTTTTGGTTGTTGAGCCTCTTACAGGTGAGCCAGGCAGTTCGGTAAGTGAGTGGACTCCCATCCCACGCCCAAACAGCAACAAAAAACGCCACCCGCCCAAACAGCAAAAAAAACAAACGCCACAAACAGCAAAAATACAAGCACCCGGAAATCCCAAACAACAAAAAAAACCAAACAACAGCAACAAAACAAACTTGCCGTGCACTTGGGAGTGATGGTGTGTAAAGCCTGTGCAATTAAATCCAAACACTGCAGGCTGCCTCGGCGGCTGTTTGGGTGCGCTTGTCGGCGGCCTGGCAGCCCTTGCCTTGCCCGAGGAGACTGGATGAGCCATCCAAGGATTGCATTTGGATGAGCCTGAAAGCTTTCATTGTGTCAGGATGCAGTGGCAGGCCAGCTCATGAGTGCGCTTCAGCGACAATTAAGCGGATGCGGGTGGCCAATGAACACAGTCAGTGGGCAAGCTGAGGAAATGCTGCCTCACAGGGTGCCTCCACAGCAGCCTGGTCAGGCGAGCGCTTGAAGAAACTTTTCCAGACCTTTGAAGTCTTGAGCAGCAAGCCGCCTGCATGGAGGCTGTTACCAGTGCAGCCAAGGCTGGTGGAACCTGCCCAGAACAGAAAGTTTGTATCGAGCTCCATATGCGGAGTCAAGAGCAGACATCATGGGTATCAAAGGCATTTTGGTACAAGTCAATGTCACGGCAGCATGCTCAGGATGTTTTGATCGAAGTCATTGTAGCAGGCAGTACCAGGGCAGAACCTGCAACACGAACAAGCATGGAAGGAGAAATCAAGAAGCAAGCATGAGCCCAGACTGTTTGAAAGCTACTGAATTCTCACATCCAGAGTCATGGGTGTGCCCTAGAAGACATGTGGAGCTAGTCTCCCTCCAAATTCACCAGCGCTGTTGAGGGAACACTGGCTCATAAAAGCAATGCACGTTCTATGTAGAGATGCAGACGAAGCTTGGAGTGGGTTCTGAACCTTTAATCATTCATTCCATCTTGCGCTTGATGCCTATTCATCATGTTTCATTCGCAATTTGCTGCATGTGCCGGCCTGGGACATAGCCCGCTGCTTCCAAAAATGGTGCATGTCTACAACGGATATACATGATATGAGCGTAATCAATGCCTGAAACCTCGACCCAACCTTCACGCACTATGATTTTACTAGCCAACGGGGCCAGAGCTTTTCTTTTTCTACCTTGCTCTCTGCTGTGGTGCATCGAAAAAGTTACGTCATATGATCATGTATAGTAGTTGAAAGGGCATTTATGATTTCAGGATAGTTTGCTTGCAGTCGGTCACTCGATTTATTGATGCTCATTCTGGAATCATTCTGGACTGAAAGCATGAACTGAAAGCAGGTGCTAGCTGCAGATGGCTTCGATGTGGAAGCTGTGAACTTTGAGTTCCGTCGCCAATGTCTTCAGGCAGTCAACCGTTTGGATTTTCACTTTGCAGCATGATGTGCAGCTTTGACAGGCGCATCCGCAGCTACTCGCTTGTTCAGACGTCGCCTCCTGAATCCTTCGTTCAGGGGTCTAAAATGCTGACCTAGGCGAAAGCTTGGCGGCTTGTCGGGATTCTTGCAGGCAAGGTGCCTGACCTGCTGGCTCAAGTCGTGGCAATTGCGACGTGTTCGGCAGGTACACTGCGACCTTGAAGTCTTGCGGCAGGCTTCACATTTGGTCCAGAGCCGCAGATACCTGACCAGTCGGGACCCTTCGTGGCATAAAGTAGCAGGTCAGTTAGCAGCCATCATAATGTCAAAAGGTACGGCCGACCTTCCTGCCCACGACGGCAGCAAGAGTGCGGGAGCAGTGGCCGCCAAAGCGTCCTGGTACAAGTGGGACCCACGTAGCGAAACAATTCTGACATTTTTGGAATCTGCGCCAATGCACCAGATGCCCCGATTCCTGGTAAGGCCGCGGCCCTGGCGCAAGCAGAGCTTCAGCGGACAGATTCCCAAGCTGTTTGGGCCTTGGTATCTCCTGGCTTCTCTTGGCATTCCAGGTCTGCTTGGAAGTCTTGCAGCATTGAGGTTGAAGCTTCAACCCTGCTATCGCCAAGTGAACTTGAAGTGCCGACCTTGGATCTGGCAGCAGCTTGAATTGCACTTTGACTTTGAGAGCTAGAGTCGCACAGGCGCAGAATGAACAGATCAGTCGCTACTTGCTGGATCTGTCCTGGCAAAAGGATGCCATGAAGGCACCTTTCCAACTGCCTCGTATCACGTGCTTTGCAGCTTTGCAGCCAGAACTCAGCATGCGGCATGCAGCATATGGGCAAATGGGCAAGCAATGAGTGGGATTGCACTCTGGGCATTGAACACGATCTTTTCAAGGCAATGCTCATGCTGTCTGCACAGATCGTAGATACACACGGATACACATCCTAATGGGAAGCTTGGCTTTGCTTGGTTGAATCTTCAAAGCTGTCAGTCAGCCCAAGTTTACACTCATTTGGCAGGCTGTGTGTAGGTCAGTTTGCGGCGCCATGTGGGAACTGGTTCCAGTCAGTTAAATACCCCACCCCAAAAGCATGCATGCCTCTTGTTTTTGCGTTCGGCTTGCAGCGAATGGACTTGTGACACTGTGACTTAGACATAATACAGATACGATCTGATCCGAATCAGAATAGCCATGGCCATTCTAATACAGATACGATCTGATCCGAATCAGAATAGCCATGGCCATTCTGTATCCTTTCCAAACCATTTCCAAACTGCTTGACAAAATCTACCTTCTTGCCGGTATCACTACATTATCTTTGTGCAGTCGACAAATCTGAGAGCTGTGAGGTACTGCCATCCTGCGTGTGTGATGCTGCCTGTCCAACAGATTCTGATGATTTGAAGCGGTCGTTTCCCTTGTGCTCAAGCAAGCTCTGCTGATGCTTATTCACTTGTTTTGCGTGTGCCGCCCGTATGTTTGTTGGGTGGAGGTCCAAGCCCAAGCCAAAGCTCTTGAAGCTGTAGGCGATTCGAATGCGAGCCAAGTGAGCAATATGTTCAAATCGTGGGTCCAGAAAGTGTTTTTGATGTTTGTGGTATCGTTCCGTCCAAACCAGTCTTCACAGGAGTTTTTTGTTGTGCGAGATTGCTGGTCTAGTGCCAGCCTAGTCTAGCTCTGCGTGTGAAGCCTTGGGCTAGTTTTGTGAACAAAACGAGTGTTCCGGGCTTGGCACATTATTGTATCTACCGATGATTGCAGGAAGTACCACATGCGGCACTTGTTTTGCCGATTCCTGTGGCGAAGACGGCGCAGATGCAAGATATTGGAGGATTGCAAGGATGCAACGTAAAAAATGTACCTAGATCCTCGACTTCTTAGGCTCTAAAATGCCGAAGCAAGATGCACAGTCGGCCCTTTGGGGGTACCAGTATCAGTATATGAGCCCACTCCTCAGCAACAGTACCGTCAGGAGGGAACTCCCTACAGGAAAATTACCTGCAAAACCGCAGCAGCCCCCCCCCCCCTCATCCGCAGCGCAGCGCCTCACCGCAGGGCATCTTAACCGCAGAGTAATCTTGCAGTGCCCAACCCTGCAGTGCACAACCCCAGAGTATCCCTGCAGCTGTAAAGGACCCTGTATCACTTTTATATCCCCTCGAGAGGGATGCTCTGTAAGCCTCATAACCTCTGTAAGGGACCCCTCATCAATCTTTAAAAGGGAACCCATGTAGGCCTCATAGCATGTCTAAAGAACCCTATATAGCCCTTCCAGCCTCTTAAAGGGACCCTGTACAGATCTTATCGCCCCCTGAAAAGGACCCTACGCAGCCTTTATGACCCCTTTGAACGGGCCCTGTGTAGGCATTATAGCACCTTTAAAGGGACCCTTACATACCCTCTACATGGACCCTATGTAGGCCTTATAGCCTTTGTAAGAGACCCTATGTAGGTTCCATACAAAAACATTTCTTAATGTCCCGGGGGTTTTGGTTGAGCAAGATTGACCAGAATCGGTCAACAACCCCAAGTGCTGGACAACAGGGTGGGGATGCCTGGAGCAAATAACTGCGCTCTGGGGTTGAGGATTTTAGTGATACTCAAGCTGGACGCTGTAGGGAGAGACTGGTGCACTGCAGGGAACCTCTACTCTAGGGTACTTCGGGTTGGGCACAGCAGGAATACTCTGAAGTTGTTGCAATGATAATTACTTTGCGGTTCGGCGCGCGGTTGGGCACTGCGGCGCTGTCGGGATACTCTGCGGTGGAGCACTGCGCGGAGTGCGAGGAGAACTTTGACTTCTTAAAATTAAGGCAACCGCGCTGTAAAACAAGCCTGAAACAACCCGTCCTGGTGGCCAGCTCGGATGAACACAGGTGGGGTGCAGTTGGAACACGGGCGCGGCAGTAGGTGGGGCAGGAGCGTAAACGGCTGCTCTGTAGTCAGGAGAACCTCAGATCAGATCTCGTCTTGTTGCTAGGCTAGGTTTGAGGAGACTGTGCAGTGGCATTATCCTTAGCAGCTGAACACACGGTGCTAAGAGTGCAACAGCACAAAGGCTTGCCACAGTCTCAGGGAGGGCAGTTGGAAACAAAATCGACAACGAATGACAACAGATAAGCTGGCAACTCAACGCCTCCGGTTCTCTGTAGCCTGTGGCTGTTTTTTCGTGCTAGCGCCTGAAAAACCGCACGTCCGTGCCCAGTCACGAGAATTCATGTTTGATATGGTGTCCAGGCCGCTCTGGAGCACCTGCAGAATCACGAGGCTTACGCAGTTCTTGGGATTGCACCTGACATATCGGACGGGGACCTCACCAAGGCGTACAAGGCGTGGTATCTGTGACCATCTTAACCAAGCGTGCAAGCACAAGACACGCTTGGAAGAAGAGGCCGCAGCCATGCGCCTGCATCCGGACAAGGGAGGCAACGCCGAACAGTTCAAGGACGGATTTGCCTGTGCGCCGTGTTTGCTGCTTTGTGCGCTAGAGGAACCACACGGAACAGAACATGATACGGCTTGAGTCCTGACTGCGCATCATGTATTTAGCGCTCGCCGCAATGACACACTAGCCTTTCTTTTTTTGTACAATATTGCCCATCTAAGGCACTTACGACATGTCATGGCCATGCACATACACAGCACCTGCGCACCTCTCCGCCAAATTCGGGAGCGACTGGCGTTGTGTACAGCTGGCCGTAGCCAGAACAAGCTCCAGCAAGCTCTAGGAAGGAGCGCAAGTTCTGAGGAGAGACCTCTCAGGAAGTTGCGCCAGGATAATCGATATCTGCAACCACAAGAAGCGATGTCCCTTCAAGGTCTTCAGACCCCGGGGAAGGTCTTGGATGGCACCGGGGTCCCACAAATCTCCCAGGGCAAAGCTCCAGAGCAGATGGGAAGCCTGGCAGCCCAAGAGAAGAAGTGGGTTGTCAGCTGCAGAAAAAGGGTTGAGGCGGGGCAATGCCGGATCCTCTCGCCTGAACGCCTAGAGGTTGTGGCCTTGACGGATTATGTAATGAGCGCTCTCGGGTCTGGCCGGCATGGGCGATCTGCCAATCACTCGGCAGGCAGCAAGGGCAGCGTATGAACGCATCTTGGAGTTGAGGCAGAGTTGCAAACTAGGTACAGCAACACCTCTCAGCCATCTGCGGTTGAGTCCCGTGTCTCTTTTTGTGTTGCTTGGATCAGGCAAGGCGTGGCGCAATGTTCCAGTGGTGACGCTGGTGACAGTGGTGAGGCAACCACACACTCCAACATGGATGGGCATTTGTTGTTTCCGACGCCAATTGTTACAACTGCTGCTGCTCGTAGAGGATTTTTAGGCATCGCGCAAGCCATAGTGACAATCTCATACTTTGTGACTCGGCTTCAGGCTGACTTGGGCAGGTTCAACCGGTTGTGGCTGATGCTTGCTGATGTGAAGTTTCGTTGCTCGTTGGGGCTCAGAGCTATGGTTTATGATGAACTAGCCAAGCTTCATAGCAAAAAGGGGCACCAACGACATACCAACCAAACAAAATTTTGGAAGCTAGCTGTGGCTTTTCTAAGCTTTCGGCTCGGAAGCATGGCTTTCAGTGCAGATGGCTTGCCCGCAGGCGCACAAAGAAGCTTTGCAGCTCTAATTCCTGCTGCTGAGTCCATTGCATGAGGACAATATCATGTGGATCCGGACCGGTTGGGTGAGACATTGGCTGCTTTGCAGTCCGAACTGCAGCTCGATGAAGTGGACGGAGGGGTGAAGTCTGGGTGGTGAAAGGGTTTTCCTTTTTGTAGATGGCCCAGGCTCTCACTGTCAGCGCAGCAGCAAAAGCAGCTGCAAGAAGCAGTGGAGAGCCACCGCACTGGTTTGCTAGCTTCCGTCAAGTTGCATGTCTGCATACGGACATGCTTTTAGGCATTTGGGTTTTTGAGGGAAGCTGATGGCCTTACAGCCGTCAGACTGGACCAGCTTAGGTTGAACGGAGCTTTGACGAATGACAAGGAGGGAAGGAACAGTGGATTCAATGGATCTAAAATCGGTGGAGAGTACCAGAATGCCAGTCGCGACTCCTATCAACTGAATGGGTCTGATGCTGGAGATTCCAAGGTGCGCGGCAGGGATGCCACGGCATTTTGCACGGCGCATGTAAAACACGTTTACTGCCATCACTGTACCTGTATTGGAAGGCAGTCTGAAATAGGTAGAGATGCGTTTGTTTGTTGAACCAGGCCTGTTTTCCTAGCAGCCTGTTTTCCTAGCAGAATGTTTGATTTTTTACTGCATATGCAATAATTGCACGAGAAGTCTTTGCAGAAGTTGTGGGGACCTTGCCGATTCTTGGCACATAGCTGTCCAAACCATTTGTGCGTGTTGTAGGCAGAAGTGGCCATGACTGAGATGATGTTGGCTTCGGTTACCAGGCCTGATTATGATTAGGAGTTCTTCTTGGCAATGCCTGTGCAGAGCCGTCAGCATGAGCATCTGACTCCTGAAGCTTGCATGAAGTATGACGGTGGATTTATTCTTCTTGTTTGTCTTCTTCTCTTGTGAGCGGCCGCCGACACTTCGTTTAGACGTGTGTGTAACGACCAGCACACGCCATGGGCCGGGAGGTATGCAGAGGCAAAGGAGCAGGACGCCCTGTGAGGATTTTTTGAACTTTTTGGAAAAAACCTGAGGCTCCGCAGGCTCCGGAGGATCCCGGAACGGCTCCTGGCGATGCTTTCTCGACGTTTCAGCCGCGCGCCTCGTTCCAGCCTGATGACCCCCACAGCGATCCGTATCCAGTCACTTCGCCATCCTCTTCCCCAAAGACCTTCACTCTTGCTGCCGGCGTAGAGCCCAAAGATGCTGAAACATCCGCCGCGAAGGACTGGTGCTGGCTGACTTCATGTTTCTGCAATTCCTGACTTTGCGCGCTGAAGGCGACATACAGGTCTGAAGCCAGCAACCAGTCGCTGTCAAGGAGTGGGCCAAGACGGCTAGTACTTGCCAGGGCATGCTGCCTGACCTGCGAGCTTTTTGTAGCGTTTGTGAGGAACATGGGAAGTCGCAGCACTTCGCGCATCAGGAGGGTTGCACGGGCAATCACATTCGCATCTCTGCCGCACCGCAGCATGCGCACAGGAACACGGTCACCGAGCAAGGGGAGTCATCTGCTGCTGCGAAAGATCTGAAACTTTCGCAGGCGTGCTTGGGTCATGACCATGCGGGTTAGCAGACGTTGCAGTGGTTCTACATTTTGATTGATCCTTCGGGTCGCACGAGGAGCGCAGAAATGGCTTCGATACACTCGTAGGTGTGGCGGTGCTTCTGTGTCATGGCTGTAGGAAAATCTAAGGTTTGGTTTCTCTTGTTGCGATCATCCAGGCTTGTGTGTCGCTGAGGAATGCATTGGTCATGGTGGTAGACCTGGAAAGTCAGGGTAACAAAGTGGGCATGACGATTGGCCTCGTTGATCATAGCCTTTGGTCTTCTGCGACTCCGGTGATCATAGCTGCTCGGCACCAGTCTCCTGGACATGTTCTGGTTTTGCCCGGATTTCCAATCCATGAAGTAAGGTATTGGAGCACTTCTTTGTTTTGATCTTCATCTTGGAGCTGGTCTGGCGTATATATTCTGAGAGATTACGATACTTCCGCGAGCTCATGAATGTGTTTGACAGTCTGTTGGTTTTGATTGCGTGTGTTGACTTGTACATTTTGACACCTTTGATCCAAACTTCGTTGAACAACACTGCCACGTTGCGTCTTCTTCGAACGATAAAATTGGTCTGGGGCTAAGTTGGCATTAGCGCTGCTCCGGCCTTCTTGACCGTAGTTGCAGCAAATTTGTGAGTCGAGGTGCGGGCTGTGCGCATTGTACGTGCTCTGCGACTATTCCGAGGTTGGGAGGGTTTTATCTCAAAAGTAGTCCCAGGTTGAGCACGTAGAGGCATGGACTAATGTATCACGCACAGCGACACGGTGTTCAGTGAAACTTTGATTGCCTACGAAGGTCTGCGACTGCTCGTCCAGGCTCAAGGGTGTGTAGGAAGTGCCGCAGCTGCTGCTAGCCGCCCCAGTTTGACTTTGTTGATTCCAGAAAGGCTTGCAGCTCGTTCCTGCCATCCTTGTGCTGGTCAATGGCACTGCTCGGGATATTCATGATGATGGGCGCTCTTTTCATGGGGAACTTGCTTAAGTCTCAGCATCCTTCAGAATTCGCGTGCTGTTCCAGCAAAGTCAGAAGAGTATTCAGCCCTTGTCAGGTTGCAAGATTTCATATTGGATGAGGGTAAGGACTACGAAATCCGGGAATGGATTTGGCTTCATTATGGTACAGCTTACCGGGCAATTTACACTATGCAACTTGGACTGTTCAGTTGCGGAGATGTGGCGCCGCATTGCTACATCTGGTGTTTCAACATGCTGCTTTGTGTTTTGTCAAGCCTTTCCTGTGCGCCTGAGCAACAGAGAAGATGCTGACAACAGATGTGAGGGGATTGTGTACAATCGACGCCCGAAGCACGTCACCTTGCCATAAAGCACTCAGATAAACCGGTAGGTTAACAAACAATAAGTCAGTTGTTGACAGATGGCTCATGTCGAGGCCGGCCCCCGGAATGTTTTGCTAAGTTTCAATTGCTACGGCAGGGGGCAGTTGCTGCCGTTGCTGCCCCTGCACTCCCCTTGCCCCACTGCGTCCCCAATCTCTACTCGCACCGGGCCCAAGTAGCCCATCTCGCGAGCAAGCGGGGGAGAATTGGGGCAAGTCGAATGAGTGGCTTGCGGGGTACACCTTTTGCCACATCAAAGGTGGCTGATTGGTCAGTGTCACGCGGTACCACATAGATTTGCGCGACAGGTTGCATGTCGTCGGCCCGTGGATGGGCCACCGACCCTTTGCTTGATCTTAGCGAGTCTGCTGAGTACAATTGGTCCACTCCGAGGACCCCCGAAGTGGCAGTCCAAATTCCGGTTCGAATGGGCAATGAAAGGATTGCTCTCTCAGCTTTGAGGGGAGTGGTTAAGACATGGCCGTGAGTCACTCTTCTGATGAAACTGGCGGGGCGGCCGCATTGGGCCGGAGCCACACGATTACATGACCAGATTCGGTGGGCTTGGCAGCATGTTATTGTTGTTGCACATTGCTGGCCGCTGGCTCAAGCTACAATGCCAGGCTGCCAGGAGCCGGAGGCCAGCTACTCCTTTTTCTGTCGGAGCGGTGAGCTCCACATAGTGGGGAAGTTGGCCATGGCCACGACACCTAAGGGCATTGCAACAGACCGCTGGCGTTGGATGAAAGAGGTCGGTGCCGAGACGCTGGTTGGCCGGAGGCTGCCGGGACACAGACAGCAGTGGCTGCGAGGAAAAGGCGTAACAGGAACCACCAGGTCGTAACAGGAACTTCAGGGGGACCCTCATCACAGGATCCAGCAGGCCCCGCAACAGGAACCAGGGTCGCCCTGTAACAGAAACTTTTCCTGGATACTGAAACTTTTCGGGGGGTCTCTCTTCAGCTTAAAGAGGAACTTGTTTTGAGAAGTGCTTCCGATGAGTTAAACCAAAAACCCGAAACCCCAAACCTGAAACTAAACTCTAGACTCTAGCACCACGAGCTGCAGATTGTCTGTTTGGTGATTCGAGTTTAGGGAATTCTGGGGGTAAGGTATCATGAGGTAGGGGCAGTATGGCTGTTTATTGGTTGCTCGGGACCGCTTTCCGAGAAATTCAGTGCCGGCCAGCCGGTCGTCCGTACCGCGCCAGCACGCAGGTTGCTCACGCGTCGGTCAGCTCATGTTCATTCCCGTAGCTCGGGCGCCCCTGCTCGTCGGTTCTCGTTACATCCGACCCTGTTCCGGTTGCTTGCCCGGCGGCTCCCCTTACCTCTGGCAGCGGTTCCCGTTTCACCCGGCCCCGGTTCCTGTTACCTGTGGCCCGGTTCCGTTTCACGGTTCCTGTTACGCCCCGGGGCGGTTCCCGTTACAGCCTACACCGCAGTGGCTACCCTTAGGAAGCCGTGTTGAGCGGCCGGCGGCGGAGGAGGTTGACCCCCAGCTCCTAAACACCGTGACTGTTCCTCCGGGAGGGCAGTCGCAACCTAACCGCTGAGCTCTCCAAGTTCCCACGTCTGGCCAGGATCGTCGCTGCGTGTTCCGAGCCTCCATAGCTTGGACTTAAATGGAGGGAGCTGTGTCAGGCCGCCGTCAAGTTGCAGCTTGAGCCCCCCCAGCTGGACGTTGACCAGGTGGCAGATGTGGTCCGCCATAGCGCGGG